ATGGAGAGGACACTCAAGATCTTCCTCACAATATAGGATGGTTGCATTTGAGTGAGTCCAAGCCTATTGACCTCCTCTACAAGAACATTCAATCGTAAATACATTTCATTAGCACTTTCACTAGGAAGCATTTCAAATGAATTAAGTTTCTTCATCACAAGATGATAGCGTTCCTCACGCTCACTCTTGGTTCCCTCATGGAGCGCACAAATGTCCGACCATAGTGAATGGGCGTCTTTGTGGTTCCACACACGGTTAAAGACATCCTTGCAAAGGCCTCTAAAGAGAGTGTTTTAGCCTTTGCATTCCACTTCTCGTAGTGAACCTCATCACCTTAAAGATTAGTGGGATCCTTAGGTGTTGGGAAATCTTGTGAGGCGGCTCTAAGCACTCTAATATCTAAAGCCTCTAGGTACGCCTCCATGCGAATTTTTTAATAAGAAAAATCATCTCCCTCAAAGACGGGAGGGGGTCTATCCCCGTGGGACATCTTGCTCTAGGCAGTTAAGCCTAATTTAAGGAGCACGAGGCTCTGATACCAATTGAAAGGATCAAGATGCCCAAGAGGGGGGTGAATTAGGCTAATTCTAAATTTCTTGCAATAATTAAGCCCTACACTTAGCCTATTCCACCCCCTTGTGCCTAGAGGTGTTTCTATTATTCTATCGCACAAGAGTTTTGTATTCTAGGTTCCAATCCTACTCTAGCATGGCAATTCTAGAAATGTAAAGACATGAATTGAATTGCTTAAATGTAAATGCTCAAAGTAAATAGAGGAAGAGGAACATGTCAATGTTTTTTGAGGTATCGGAGAGTCACCACTCCTCACTAGTCCTCATTGGAGCACCCGCGCAAGGGTGTAGCTCCCCCTTGATCTGCACAAGGATCAAGTGCTCTTTACGGGTTGATTCTTCGACACTCTGTCGCGGTGAATCACCCACAACCGCTAACACCATGAATTGGGTCATCCATAAGCTCCGTTGGATGATCACCAAGCTTCCAATCACCACCAAGCCGTCTAGGTGATGGCGATCACCAAGAGTAACAAGCATAAACTCTCACTTGACCAAGACAAGCCTAATGAGAAAGGTGGATGCACACTTGCTACTCCTTATACACTAATAAGGTCCTTAATCTTGGATTATCAAATCTTAATCACCCCACTAGGCTCTTGCTCTCTCTTACACTCCAAAGGTGTTTCTCAGCTTAACAAATGGGTAAGAGCACTAAGTTGGGTGAGTAGGAGAAGTATTTATACTCCCACTTCAAAACATACCCGTTGAGGTCCAACTCAACACATTTTGGGTGACCGGACGCACCGGTCGAAGTGACCGGACCCATCTGGTCTATAGCCAACGGCTACATTACGTTAGCAAGCTAGAGAACACCGTTAGATTGACCGGACGCATCGTAGCGTCCGATCCTCCTGGACATGACGCATCCGGTCTACAAATATCCTCTCTAGACTATCTCTGTACTTGACCGGACTCAGCCATGAGCGAGTCAGGTCACACTATGCCGCTGCGTCCGGTCTTCTGTGATCACGGAGCCAAGAGCGTCTGCAGGGGCACATGTGCGTCTGGTCCCGTGATGTCCCTGCGTTCGATCAATAGCCAGTAGCAAAACCCTGCTGCTACAGATCCTGGCACCTGCACGTATGATCTCGGCCTTGTGCCAGCGTCCGGTCGATGAGCAAACCCTAGCTGCACGAGCTAACACTGACCGAACGCGGCACCTGTGCGTCCTGTCCAGCGTTCGGTCATCATCCAAGTCTCCATTCACCTCAAATTCTACCAACTTTGTGAACGGCATCGACTTCAATTGATCTATGGGCTGTCCTTGAGCTACCTAGTGCTAAGTTTGACAAGTGTGCACCACACCTAAACCATTAGACTCACCTAGGTCAAGCTACTAGTTCATACCCCCCTTAATAGTATGACCAAAGGAAAAACAAAGTCCAAAACTACTCTAAGTGTCTCTCCAACACCAAACGACACTTAGAACTAGTCTGTCATTAACCTTGTCGTCCATCTTTTGAAAACCGAAATGATTTCCATCGACAGGGGCATGAAAACCATAATTGCCCAATCAATCACCATTACCATGACCTAACTCAAGTTGCCTCTGCAAAACACACGTTAGTCACAGTAATCTTGTGTCGTCATTAATCACCGAAACCCAACTAGGGGCCTAGATGGTTTTAGGCACCACCCTGAACCTGACCATGGTCGGATCTAGACTCTATGACCCCTCCTCGATTGATTCCCTTTCTTGGATGGCCATGTCGATTACATGGGCCCTAGGTCTTCTCATCTTAGGGAAATTCCCCAACAAGGAGGGATGGCTCAATATATGACTACTCGAGAGGCCCAATCGAATGGGGATACCTCATCCACTTTGTGCACAAGACATAGCAAGATATACATAGAAGCCAACTCTATCCGTTGTAACCAACTAGAAAACCTACCTATAAACAATCATGACTCTATCTATAACCTTACCCCACGGACTATATGAGTCAGGATAAAAAAGGATCGAATTGAAGCAGATAATGACTCTCCTATATCCTAATTTGCTTTTCTTTGTTGTATTCGGATCGGAGCTTATAATACACGGAATGTGGATTCTTTCGGATCTAAAAAATGGAACGGAAATGGAGTGGAATCAGAGACAAATAAATATTTGAGTAATATATGCTTACATTGAGAAGTATATTCTTATCAAAAATTAATTATGTAAAAAGTCAACATAGAAAGCAGTAGACTATATCTTGCATTGCATTCAATGTTGTGACCACCACAATGACACAAATTAACATTTAATAGGTATCCACATTCATAATAATAAGTTATTTGCCGATGAACAATAACATCCAGCAAGTTCCAATTCAAAATTTAGAAAAACAACCACATCACAAAATAAGAGTTCTCAACTGACAAGTTTTTTTAAATCCTAAATTACTCTTGTTTTAGGAAGAGAAATTATCAGATATCCTATTTTAAATATCGTATAATCCGATATAATTTGTGGATAATCCATATCCACCGGATTTTGCTGATTCTATATCCTAATCCGCATCCGCAAGTTATTCTTTATATCCTCAAAATTTGAATTCGGATTGGATCGGAAAATTATCCACACCACTTTCATTCCTATTTTTGGAGGCATAGAGAGCCCCTGATCGACAATCCGAATAGACCCTTAGCCTATAAATACATATAGCCTGTTCGCTTGTTGCTTTCAGCCAGCCCAAACCAGCCAGCCAACAGTGTTTTTCTCTCACAAAAAAACAGCACCAGCCAGCCCAAACCAGCACCAGCACCAACCAACGAACAGGCCCATAGTTGTGATCCCCTACTCACAACCGACCCAGGCACACAGAGCATAAGCAATAAAGGTCCTCATCTACGTTGAACGTAGGGGATGCTGTTCTCGAACTTGTATAAATCTATGTCACGTGTGTTACCCCTCTGATCCACCGTGTATGATACATCGATTAATAGTCAAACGCAAAATCCACTGACAGCCGGTGCACCAGGAGGGGACCATCACGCACAATTTCATCTGTATGGGTCAGATGGGTTTCTTCATCAATATCATCCGTGGCGTGGCTTGACATGTCACAGCTTCGTCAACATCATACAATGTCACTTGAGCTCCCGCGATGGCACTCGGTAGTCTGCTAAGCACAACACTCGTCTTCTTACAACGTCATTTAGTAGCCCCCCCAAGGCACATAGCGTCCCGCGACGACCCGTTTGTGGCCCGCTATGTCCCGTTGCAGGGTGCAACCAGCCTAAGGCATTTGCATCATTGTGATTGATCGAATCAGCAATTGACACGAAAGTGCAAACCATTGTGTCTCGTAGTGTGGACGAGTAGGATAGTGAACCAAATGGCAAAACCATGCAAGATAAATGGGTCAAATAGACCCAAACACTTAAACCCACAAGGAAGCCCACGTTCCACGCTGCTAGAATCAACGAATTTCGTAATAATATTTGAATTAAAATATGAATTATGTTAACCGATTTGAATTTATGCTGTGCTTGGCTCAGCTTGTTTCCCTACCATTCAAATTCCTAGGGAAAGTTTCTATGCCATGTCACATTCTTTCCCTAGGAATCGGATCAGTAGGGTAATCATCTTTCCACATAGGTTCGTCAGTGCCATCTCAGATACTTTACCTAGAGATGCAGTTTCCCAGGGAAAGATTGTTTCCCTATGATTTCTGGGAAAACCGTAGGGCACATCTCTCTTTCCCGTCGACGCGGTCCCTAGGAGTCTTTCTCTACGAAATACCCTGGGAAAATTACTTCCCTACCGTTTTTTCGGTCTTTCACTAGGATTTTCGCTCCAAGGGAAACTCGCTAATTCTGGTAGTGCCACTTCATTATATTTCAGGAGGCAAAGCCTATCCTTTTTCTTTTGCTACATGATGCCAGATCCATGGTTGATAGACTGTTTGGTGGTGATTTAAGAGATAGGTCCATAGAGAATTCAAGGTATGATGATAGTCGTATCTTGCCATACTGAGTTCTGCACCACTGCACGTGGGAGAGAAACATGGTGCTGCGAGTGCACACGAAAAAGGCTTAGGATGGCGAGCAAGCGGTGCTCACCTACTTTTTCGAGTGGAAAACGAGAAATACGTGACGGAGAAAATTGGAAAAGCCGATGTCAAAACTTTTTCCCATTTAAAATGCCAAAACAGAATACATGAAGTGATCTAGAAAGCCTCTAGAAATTGTTCTAGGCCTCTAGCCACCTATAGGAGGATTTTTGTGTTTAGGTTGGTGACGATCAATAAGCGAGAAATCGAGCCGTGATCTGACCGTCCACGTGGCTGATCCAACGGTAAATGTCTTCTCGAGGCCTCGGCGGCTCGGCCGAAGGAAGCAAGCAGTCCACTCCAGCTGTCGTGCTCTCTCCTGCTCTCGAGTCTCCACTGGAGCAGTCCACTCCAGTAGTCCAGTACCCCTACCGCGCTGCTAGCCACGATGCGGCCGCCGCGAACCCCTGCCCGCCGCGACGCCGCGGCGTCGCCGCAGACGCCCAAGGGGTTCAACCCGGGCGACACGGTGGAGGTGGTCCCCGACGAGGCCGGCCTGCGCGGGGCGCATTTCGCGGCCGTCGTCGTGGGGCCCAGCGCCAAGCCCCGCGGCGGCTACACCGTCGAGTACGACTCCCTCCTCGAGTCCGAGGACTCCGACCGCCGGCTCCGGGAGGCACTGCCGGCGCGGAGCCTCCGCCCTCGCCCCCCGCCGCCTGCGACCCGCGCCCGCCTCGGGGTCGGGGGCCCCGCCCGCGGAGCACGCCGCCGTCGACGCGCTCATCGACGACGCCTGGTGGCTCAGTGTCGTCCTCGGCCGCGCCGGCGCGCCTGGCAAGGTCAGGGTGTGCTTCCCGGAGACCAGGGAGGTCATGGAGTTCGACGCCGCCGATGTCCGCCCCCACCTCGAGTGGGTCGCCGGCGAGTGGCGCTCCCCAGATAGCATGGTAGTAACACTAACAAGGGTTTTTCCAACCTTTTTTTTTTCTGTTTGATTCTGGGTTTCCTTAATCGATTAATAAGCTTATAATAACCCATCAAAAAGTTCCTCCCTTTTCTTTCATTCTAGATGATTTTGTGGTATTAGCGTTAGAAATGGCATGCACATTTTTTTAAATGGTGGCAGGGCGAATGTGGGATTATGATTTCCCATGCTTGCTAGGTGGAGAGTGAGGAGAATGAGGATTCTTGAATTGCTAGCTATTGTTGTATCTGATGGATGGATTTATCTATTTTAGCTTGAGTTATACAGGTGTTAGAGCAGTTCAGGATGCTAGGGGATATGGACCTTGTGAGTTTAGTATGCTTGTGGTCCCACTGGCTGGAAAATTGCCAATCAACATATTAAGTTGAGTTATGAGGTCAAGCTACTTGGACGAGCTGAATTGTGTTCAATCAGATGCGGGTCATGCTGGAATGAAGTTTTTCTAGTTGATGTGAACCATGAAAGCATTTGATCCCTTGATATCCATGGAGGATTTTAGTATCTGTACCTGTTTATTTCCACTCCCTCCATTCCAAATTATGCTTTGCTTTGGCTTTGTTCTACGTTAAACTTCTCCAACTTTGACCAAAATAGAAAAAATGTATTAACATCTCTACAAGTTCAAATATATGCCAAAGTGAACTATAATTTGGAATGGAGGGAGTAGTTACTAGGCCTCAAATAAGTTGGCATGCCCAAAACTATTGAAGAAGTAGTGAGCGCTCAATATCCAATACTACTACAAAAGTTTCTGTTAAAAATTTAAATCTTTGAAGGAGTTTCTATTTCTGCTAGATGGTAGATATGTTAAGAGATGGATGCTGTTGGACTTCCTAGTCGTGTTATACTGCCTTGCGTTGTTGGTTAGAAGTTTGAACTTTTTCGGTAACTCATTATCCTTCTTTGATTGCTAACATAAATCTATGGGCTTAAACATTTGTAGGTTTTCCCTCAAATGTGTTGATCATGGTAGCGTAGTTCTTGTAGTTTTTTTCTGTAATTTGTTACCTGTATGATGTTTCTTCCCCCTCGTTTGGGCTGTCCATTCAGTGCTAATAATTGCTTGTTGCCTTCTAGGAGATACCCAAGACAATGCCATATGCAAAAGGAATGCAAATCGAAGTTTCCAAGTTGGAAGATAATTCTGTTGTTGCTTGGTCACCTGCAGTTGTCGCAAAGACTATCTGGAAGAACAACCTATTAGTCGACTACACTGTTTCAAAGTGTTATGGTACTGCATTGTCTGAGGAGATTGTTGATGTGAAGCACGTGAGGCCTTGCCCACCACAAGCATCAGAGATTAGTTTCTGCATCAATGATGAGGTTGAAGCATTCCAAGGTGATTACTGGTGGGTAGGGGTGATTACTAATGTTCATCCAGAATTCAAGTACACATTTAAGTCGGCGCATTTAGGGACAGAAGTTGAGGTGAACCAGAAATCTCTGAGGCTTCGATATGACTGGGTTGATGATCAATGGGAACAAGTATCAAAGGTCTGTATAAACCTCCCTAGAATCTATATTTCTTTCAAATATCTGTTAAACTTGAGTTTTGTGCACTTTCTGTGCACATTTCTTGAATTGCTGCTCTTATTGTAATAAATTACAAATATGACTACTGGAATTTACATTTTTTTGTTAATATTTTGAGCTATTGACATCAGTGTGTTTAATTGTTTTTAAATAGTCATTGGTAATGATATTTGCACTATTGGTGCATGTGCATGTGAATTTTTGCATGATTTGTGATACAGATGCTGTTCTGTGTTACAATCTGGAAGTTTCTGTTCGGTCTGTAGTCAGTTGCAGTTGCACGGTTTCCTTCAAGCTTGAATTTGTTAAGATCTTAAAATATATTTTGTCAGATTTTACATGGTCAGCCAGCTAGTGCTTGTCTGGCTAATTTTTTAGTTCTTGCACATTGCACACCACTATACATGGTTAGCCAGCTATCTGCTTCAGTGGTATAAAGATTGAATGCTTAAACTTCATTACTTGACAATGCTAGTGAAGTACCATGATTTCTGCAATTACAGTGACTGAAGATAGAATTCTAGAATGTATGGTTTTTATTCCTCTCTTTAGTATTAGTGTTGCAAGAAAATGTTGAGTTTATTTTGTTTTTCTTTGTATAACTTCTGTCGAAACCTATAGAATAGTGTATGACTGACAAGTCTGCATCCTTAGCATTCCAAAAATTAACTTCATTGCTTAAGTCAGAGCTTAAATTGCTACTTATTTTTGGTTACTTCTTTTGCTTTTGAATAATACATATTAAAAGGGAGAAAAATACCCATCAGTCCCAAAAGTTCCAAGTTCAGATATTCCAAACTCTGTTACACCTTCAATATAGACCACCTTGATTGTATCTGTGATCATAATATTGGGAAAATATTGTATAACGTAATCTCTTAACATATTGTTTTTGGAATTTAATGTCATTCATTGTATGGTCACCAAGAAGCTTATTACATTGGATTTTTTCCATCCTAAAGCATTATCTAGTTGTTGTCCTTTGACATTTCTAGAAAACATGTAATGTTAAGAGGATCTAGGTCCTTTACTGCTTCTGCTATTATTTTCTACATGTGATCACCCTGAACTTTTGCCCTGGATGCATATTTCATGTGGTCCTTGTATCAAGGCTACCAGGAACTTTCAGCGAGCTAAGAACAAAACCTCTGCATTTTCTTTTTTTTGCATGGGAAAATTGCTTTTACACCAAAAGCCTTTCATTACTCAAGCATTTTGATTCAGAGTTGAGACATTGTTCCAAGTGTTCTTGGTTTATGGATAATGGGAAGCACCTTGTCTGCAATCTATTTGTTTCTTATTGCTATCACGAATTATGATTCCAAATATACCTTTTATAAGCAGCCTACAAACTCTCACTTATATTACTCTGGCACGCGTTTACCCTGCTGTGGGAAAGACTGTCAGCATGCACGTTCTTCTCTTACCTTTGTAAGAATAGCAAATAGCTTTAGCCATTTAACCTTCCACGATGTGTAGATTCCTTGCTCTTCAATTTGCTAGTCTGATGCCATCTAAGTGGCATCTGAAGACTTTTAATTTTGTGATGCCAATTGTTAACTGTACTCCTAACTGAAGAACATACTACAGTAGTTTTTCCACCCTATGTCAATGTCAGTTGCTCTCTACTATAATTTTTTATAGCCTTTACTTCTAAAAGGTAGCCCTTGTAGATTTAACTGCTTAGAATACCCTCACTACTTCCTAAATCACGTCATTGGCGTTACTCGGGTTGTGGCTGGAGAAGAATTTAAAAATCATCATGTACCTCATGTAGATGTATGATTATCTTTAGTGCAGTCTCAATTGCGCTGCTGTTTAGTCAACATAGGCAGCTGCCAGCTTTGATATTGCTTATTGTCAGAATAAAAAGAAAAGGAGAAGATATGTTGTTAGGCATATTCACGACAGCTACACGAACTGCTTGTGGACATTATGGTGTTTGAATTCAAACTTGTGATCAATAATTGTTGATGATTCAAATAGAAGCAAAACTCAATGTTATCTTTACGGTGTTCATCTTGCCATCTTGGATTGGCGAATTTAGACTAGTATGTGCTGAGAACTGCAAGATGGGTTGCAAGCTCAGAAGTCACAACGATAATGGTTAGCTGCTGCGTGTTATGTCTATTGATTACTAATGTGCCTAGCCAATTTATTTTCTATGCCTTCTTTTCAGAATGTAGAAGGGCGGGCCTAGTGCAAGCGGTAGAGTCTTACCGCCTATGACCGGAAGGTCCCTGTTTCGAGTCGTGGTCTCCTCGCATTGCACAGGCGAGGGTAAGGCTTGCCACTAACACCCTTCCCAAGACCCCGCACAGAGCGGGAGCTCTCTGCACTGGGTACGCCTTTTTTTTTCAGAATGTGTTGAAAGGATACTTGCACTATGTTTGTTCTCCTATTGTGTCCTAAGTGTCAATCAAAGTTATAGTTGGATATTCCTCTTAGGTTGGGTTATCTAGAAAGGATATGCTTTCCTGTATGCTCTGCAACTACAAGATTTGTTACAAGCTTATGATGCACAGCTGTTACGTACCTAACTAACCAGTTTTGTTGCCCTTTGCCCTTTGGTTGTCTTTTTCAGAATGTGGCCAAGTTAAAATTTACACAAGGTGTCAAGGTTGAAGTCTGCAGCGATGATGAAGGTTTTCGTGGAGCCTGGTTCGAGGCGACTGTCGTTAAACCTGTCAACAGCAAGTTCCTCGTGGAATATGCTACACTGAAGGACGATGACAATACCAAACCTTTGAAGGAAACTGTAGAAGCGCGACACATCAGACCTTGCCCTCCAGATATCCCTGTCACTGATGGATTCAAGCTACTTGATGAGGTCGATGCCTTCTGCAACGATGGGTGGTGGGTTGGTGTGGTATCCAAGGTCCTTGGCGAGAATAGGTGCATGGTCTACTTCAGGCCTTGGAAGGAAGAGATGGAATTTGAGCATGCGCAGCTGAGGTTGCACTGTGACTGGATGGGTGGAAGGTGGATGCGGGCTTCCCCGGTACGCTTTGCTTATCCCTGTTCCCTGCATTACGTCGTAAATCGATCCACCAGTAGCGATACTGCTACCATCTATGCAAATGTGCCTTATGTTTGTGTTTGCTCTTGAGATTAGTTGTTGTGTATTTCTCTGCATTACCGACTTGTTTGTAACACACAAGCTAATTGGCGAACTGATGACCCTTTTCAGGCTCTGGAGATGTGAAGGCTGAAGAACCATGCGATAACGTTAGAATAGGAGCTTGGGGTCATACCCAAAGTTAAAGTGTGTCCTCACTAACTTACCACGTTTTGTCGTCCTCTCCGCCAGGTTGCCCTGTGCCATCTGCATAGGATGGTCAGCAAGTTGGGTGATGATCATTGTGCAGTTGCTGCAAGTTGCCACACCATGATCATTAGAGGCCTGAATCTGAACGCTTGCCAATGGTTGATCCCATTGTCTTGTACTAGGAACTAGTAAGCGCATTGTGCCAGTGTTCAGGGTGAAGAACCAGAAGCTTGGGAACTGCAGTGCTAATGTTAGAGGTTTCAAGTGAACCCTTCATGATCGTGCGGGGGTATCCTGTTTCTTTCGTGCTACATTTGCACAAGACTGCTTGCTTTAGCATCCCTATATGCTATCCTTTCTAAGTTTATAACCGGTAAGAGACTCGAACAGAACAGTGGTGTGCTTGGTAAAGTGCTTTCTGATTCTGGTGGATGAGCAGTTCGTCATAAGTGATGATTCTAGAGCGATTATGGAGGGGATTGAATGGGGGAAGAGGTTTTTTTAGCTACAGCTTGCAATGTAAATGGAGGAACGATTCTTGTTAGATCTGTACTAGATTTTAGTTGTGTTTTACCCGTTTGGCTGTCTGATGTGGTTCTCACGGAGAATCTGGAGCTGGTAGCACTCCTATGGCCATTTTAGCCGAGCTCCAATCATAGCTTCTTTGGAACAGATTCTAATGGATTCCTATCAAACACATGAGATGTAACTGGATTCTGGTGGGAACCTGATGGGAGTCACTTCTCTATTTGTGCTGGGAGCTGGGAGCTGGGAGCTGGGAGCTTGAAAAAAGACCTCGCTCTCTACCGCTCACTGCTTTTTGTCCAATCACGACTAGAATCACTTTAGGATCGATTCTTACTCGCTTTCCACCCTACTCTCCTATTAAAATCACTCCATTAGACAATCAACCCTATTCTCCTGTTAGAATCACTCCATTAGAGAATGGAGAAGTGAAGCTCAGGAATGGGAGTTTCTGCCAAACCGGGCCCTAAAACAGCCCAAAAGATTACCCTAAAACAGCCCAGAAGAAGCACGTACTACTCCCAACATTGGGTCGCCTCGCCGGTCGTTGAATGTTCACTTCATCCTCTGCCACGGCTGATGCTGCAATGTAAGGACGGCCCTTGATTTGATCTGGACCACCTGATCTCTCTCTGTGCCTTAAAACGGTGAAGTGAATCGAATTCAATGTGGGCTGAGCAGAGAACATGGCCGAGTAATGCACTAGTCCTGTAGTAATGCCCTTTGCAACACCACATGTGATCGTTATGAAACTGGAAACATGGCCGAGTAATGGTGGTGGTGGCAGCTTTATGCATATGCATGTACTGGGAACACTGCTGTGGTAGCTAGCATGCATGAAACTGCAACACACCTGTCTAGCATGCCCTAGGCCCTGTTTGTTTCGCTGGAATTTGACTTATGCTCATGCTTATGTTGAGTTGCTGTGAGAGGAAAATACTTTTTATTCGCTGAAAAATACTACCGAAGAAACGGTTACTACACCAATGCAGTCTAGCTACAGTAGCATCTTGTATTGTAGGCACACGGGCTGTTGGCGTTGTTAACAGCAGGCGTCCGAGACTTCAGTAGCCGGGAGGGAGGTCACGCGCAAAGTGCCCTCTAATTGATGTGTTTTGTGCGCAACCTAGCGTGGCTAGCTAGCTAGCTTACATTAACGGGCTAATGGCTCATCCAATTTGCGTTGCTCGGCCGGCCGGCCATTGATGAGAGACAGAACCGCTGCCTGCTCTGCTGGTGGTCGAGCTGTGTGTGTGAGTGATGAGTGAGTGAGGCCATGTTTAGTTGCCTCAAATTTCAGAATTTGGCATTATGCAAAAAGAATATTCCCCGTCACATCAAACTTACGGTATATGTATGGAGTATTAAATGTTGAGTGCATAGTGAGTGAGTGCCTAATTAGTCAACGATCGGATAATTATTATCAAATAAAAACAAAACGCTACAGTGTAGCTACAGTGGCACAAATTCAGCCGGCACCGAATCCGGTGGCCAACTAAACGCGGCCTGAGTGAGTGTTGCAAGCATTGCATGCATGTCGCCGTCAGCTTTGGCTCTTTCCGGTGTGGCGGTTGGAGAGTCGCTCGCATCGCATCCCTCCTGATCGCCTTCCTTCCACTATACCCTATATTTGTCCCGTTCCCGGACATCTAACACACACTACTAACTAGTGCTGCAGTCTCTATATAGCCATATATATAGGTCGTTTTCGAGCTGGCCTTGGGGCACAGATGTTTAACTAGCTCTTGATTAAGGGATAATTTTTCTTTTTTTTATTAAAATATAAAATAATATGTTTATCTACTCGATCTCTTCATGCTAGATTATAACTCATTCCAACTTTAGTTTATTCGAGAGTCAAAACATCTTAAGTTTAACCAAATTTATATAATATAAAATAATAACATCTACGATACCAAATAAGAACCATATTAGATTCTTTATTAATTCTATTTTCGTAGTATACTTATTTCATGTCAAAAAAATCTTTCTAATTCTCTCTAGTTTTGGTTAAACTTGAGTTGCTTTGACTCTAAAAAAAAAAGTTAAAATGACTTATAATTTAAAACGAAGGGAGTAGCTCAAGATTACCATTAGAGGTGGCATGAGGACACTATTTGAACTAAAAGCACTTAAATGCATGGGCAACCGGCAACCCACAGGACGGAACAGTTCGAACAGTTCACCGAGAAAATCAATCAAATGAATTAATGTAGCTAGGTAGAGTATTTATTTGTGCATCAACAGATCCACCGTACCTTTGGGATCTCCGAAAATAATTAATAATCCCGCCAGGAAATTAAATGAAGCATATATAAATCATTTCTACTCCCAACATCTGATCTATTCGATTTAAATGAGGAGCAAATGAGGAAAAGACAGCATGCAGAAGCAGGGTGGCAGCTAGCGGTAGCAACGCCTTTCAGTGCCCGGTGGCCGCGTCATATCGACTTGATGATGGACGGACGGCAGCCAACTGAGCAGTGGATACAGACCAAACAATAATATCACATGGATACATTGCATTTGTCGTGCTGTGCTGCAACTGCAACTGCAGCAGCTCTTCTTACCAGCTGCCAGAGCCGGACGTAGTACGTGCTGCTGTGTTTGCATGCGTCTCCGTCGTCTCGTCTCGGATCCATCCGTGCCGTCCGGCGTCTGCGTATATATACACAACCATTCGTTCGTCCTTTGCAGGTTTTCTGCACATCCATCAAACGCAAGCAATGGTGCGGTCCCCGGCTTGCATGTGTACATTTTCTCGTACACGTGTGAAACAACTTTCGTTTCTCAGCCTCGCTGTCTTATTTTAACTTCTTTATTTAGGCCTTGTTCAGATGTCATCCAAATTCTAAGTTTTTTCACTCTCTCTTTATCACATCAATTTTTAGCCACTTGCATGGAGTATTAAATGTAGGTAAAAAAATAACTAATTACACAATTTAGTTGAAAATCACGAGATTAATCTTTTGAGTTTAGTTGATCCACGATTGGACAATATCAAGGCCTTAGTTTTCTAGTTCATAGCCTTCTAGGAGGAGTAGCAGCAGCTAGGACTAGGAGACGGCAGAAAAACCAAAGTACGGTCTCCTACGGTGACACGTAGGAGTACGTTAGTTGCATCATATCCACTGTTTTTCAGTATACTCCGTCGGTTGCTGAATAAATAGATTTCAGTCCGTTCTTTATAAATAGATTTCTAGAGTTGTGTTGAGTCAAAAAAAATTAAACTTTGACCAGATTTTAAAAAAATCCGTCAAGATTTGTGACATTAAATTAGTATCATTAGATATACTAGAGAATATATATATATTCATAATATGTTTATTTTATGGTATGGATGTTGTTACTCTTTTCTATAAAGTTAGTCAAATTTAAAATAGTTTGACTTGCACGGATTCGACAAAGGGAGTATGTCACCTATCTACTCATAAATTCATGACAAATGTAACCACTATAAGGTCTTGTTTAGTTCCCAGTTAAATTCCCAAAAATGCTACAGTAGCTATCACATCGAATCTTGCGATACGTGCATGGAGCATTAAATGTAGACGAAAAAAACTAATTGCACAGTTTGGTAGGAAATTGCGAGACGAACGTCTTGAACCTAATTAGTCCATGATTGAACACTAATTGCTAAATAAAAACGAAAGTGCTACGTAGCCAAATTCACAAAATTCGCGAACTAAACACAGCCTAACTCTGGTCATGGATACAGTGAGTGCCTGGGCTCTCTGAGGCCTTGTTTAGTTGGCCAAACTTTAGAAATTTAGCTACTGTAGCACTTTTCTTTTTATTTGGTAAATTAGTGTTCAATTATGGACTAATTAGGCTCAAAACGTTCGTCTCGTAATTTCCCACCAAACTGTGCAATTAGTTTTTTCATCTATATTTAATGTTCTATGCACGTATCGTAAGATTCAATGTGATGACTACTATAGTATTTTTTTGGAAAAACTTTTTGGAACTAAATAAAGGCAAACTGCTAGCTAGCCATTGCACTCCAACGGCTCTATACGCTTTGCTCTGGTGCCTCTCCGGTAGGCATGCAGGAGCTAGGGTGTAGTAGGAGTACGTACGTAGGAGTAATGCTTTTGACATGCATGCACGTCCGGTCTCCGGCCATTGATGGGTTTCTTTTACATGCATGCATGCACGCACGGCGTCAGACGCAGTTATGTGACGATAATGGCGACAGCAGAGAGGAGAGGGTGGCGCCGTGGCGGCACGTACCGCTGGCTGAGTGTGGCTGTGCAGTGGCTGGCACGTCCACATGGTGACATGGATCGTCCACTCAACCACACCGCACCGTTACATTACACGGACACCTCGATCTGTCACAGCTCTTCGTTTCCTTCTTTAAATTTTTAGACCTGCTAGCATCGATAATCGCCACGTGTATATATGTACGT